AGTTTCTAAATATCATCCTACAAAAATTATTTCCAAATATCGAGAATATCATGGTTTAGTTGCTTGAACAAAAATAGTACATAATAAAACAAGAGAAGTTTATAAAAGATTTAAACTAAAAAGAGTAAGTAAAAGAAACAAGAACACAACACAAAATTTAACACATAAACTATTTGAGATGAATTTAGGGTATATGACTTCACTTTTACATCTTTTTATTTTTACTTTTAGTTTGATTCTAATCCTAATTTCTCTATAATTGTCAATCATTCATAATAAAATTAGTAACACCCAATGGTCATGTAATATTAACATTATTTTCCTTATACTATATCACCTTTAATGGTAATATAAGACAAAAAGAGAAGAAAAATGTAAATAGCCTATGAATTTGTTAATTTAATAACAAATTAAAAGAAAAAACTAAGTTTGATCTATTTAATTATTTATTTACTTTTACCCTATAGTTTCATTAACTACATGTAATACGGTTGTCTATAATGCAATCAATTATAATATGTTAAGATTGATCAATTCCAAACATATAAATATAAAGTAAATAACGAAAACCAATCTAAAAAGAAAACCACAATTGTTATTAATCATAATTTTCACATAAAATATTCAAAGGATTCATCATAATCTCAACTATGAATTTAACTACTCATAATAAAATAGAAAGAAAAAACAATTGTAAAGAAATCTATATTAATTTGAAAGGAAAAACACAAACTAAAGGAATCACAAAGGAAAAGATATGAAAAAAGTTTTTGTTCCTAAAAGTGCTCTCAATTACTTGCTCAAATTTCAAAAAGGTATCATTTGCCTTTAACAATGATTTACACTCCCAAACAACTCCAAAATTTATCAAAAGTTGGCCAAACCAAAGTCTCCAAGTGTTAAAGTGTCTCTATATTTAGTGTGTAAAGCCTTTCATATAGGGTGTAGAATCTAATAAAAATAATAATTTGGCTTCCAAAAGATATGTTTTATTTCTAATAGAAGATATGACTTATCTAAAGAGAAATATATGATTTTCTAATACCAAATTTGAATTTCAAATTCACTTTCACAAACCCTTAAAAATCTATTAATTAGTTACATTAGGAGAGAAGCATGATCTTGCATACCCTCAAGCACAATTGTGCATGTCATAAAGCACTCTTAGACTAACTGTAAGTAAGGTCGTATTTCTTGTTGAACATGACCCTACTTACTAAATTTCTTCCAATCGGAACCAAAATACTTCTGCAACTCCTTGATTATCGATTCATGCAAAAATGCAATACTTAATAACAAAATTAGTCCAAAATCTCCATCAAATAAAGGTCACACATATACAAATAAGTTATAAAAACACCCTAAACTATAAACACACACATCTTTATTTAGTGTGTTATATTTGATTAGTACACAATCGTGTAAAATTCTCAATTTTTTTCTGTCACATATGGTCTTTATGCAATGTTCATCATTTTCTTCTCAAATTTTTGTGTACTATTTTTCTTCTTTTTCTTTAGATTTTTGATTTCAACTTTTTCACTACTTTTTCCTTTTTTTCTCCCTCACCGTCTTCTTCAATCCCTCCTTTTCTTCATCCTCTTTCTTTATCATCCTTTTCAAAATCCTGCATAGTAGGGGGTGGTGGCCATCACCCTAAGGCATTACTATGACCCTAAGGAGAGAATATTGTCATTATTGCTAATGCACGAGGCATTGCTACTGATGAGTGGATTCTTGAGAGTGGTATAATGTTTTAAGTTGCAGTAGAGGGGGATAAGTATGATAATAATGGGAAACAAGAAGGAGGAGGAGGAGGAGTAGTGGCAACAACAACGTGGCAAAATATTAGTGGTGTTAAGAGCGCATGTTAGGGTAAAGAGTAAAAAGGATGAAGAAGAAGAAGTAAGAAAAAAAAAAGCTAGAACTGAATATCTAGAAAAAAGAAGAAGACAATGAACAATGCATAAAGATCTAAGGAAAATGACAATGAACAATGCAAGAACACCACATATGGCAGAAAAAGACAAAAAAATTTAATGAATTTAATGTTTATAATGAAAAAATACCTACTTGAAGCGTTTTAAAAGTTAGATGACAAAAATAAATCAAAATAAAGTTGAAGAATGAAATTATGATAAATTTAGTGTATTTTACCTACACCACAGATTATATATTTATATTAACAAAGATAATCACAATCATAGTTACATATAAAGAGCATATTTAAATATATTTAATAATTCTCATGCAAATCATTAGATTTTATTTCTTTTTATAAGATAACTACTAGTATTAGATCAGTTTTCTCATTAGATTTAGACTTGTCATGAACTAATCACAAGTCCATAATACTTCAAAGAGTAATTTCATGAATTCACTTTGAATCACTTAACAAAAATGTGTGTAATGCTTCAAATAAAATAAAAGACATAAATTCACATTGCATGTCTCACAAATTTTAATGTTTCACTTCACTCTCAAGTATTTAAGGATATTGTTTCTCTCAATTCCTATCATAATTAAAGTGTATGGTAATTGCTTATACTCATGTAAATAATTGAAAAAAAAAAACACTAATTTTACTTATAATATATTACAATATCTCAAATTTATAATTTTATAAAAACATGTTTTTCACTTAATCTATTAGTATTTATTTTTTTAACATATTTTTTTATCTTTTAAATAAGTAGCATGAGTTAATAGTCTTATAATATTTTATTATGTAGTTTTTAGAAGCTATTTTAATATATAAATCAAATTCACATACTTGTTTTATTGGATTTAACTATGTAATTTTTTTAAGAGTCTTATATCTCAAATTTATAATTATTAATACATATGAATATTAACATTAAATTAAAAATTAATCTTGCATGATCAAAATATTATTTAATCTCATTAAATATTTTTACTTTGATACATGCTATATATATATATAGTTAAATTAAAATAAATTTTAAATAAAATTTTTCATAAACATAACTTTGTTATATATACAATTATTTAAAATATAAAATACAATTATTTAATTATTAATCTATATATATATATATATATTTATTTTAAAATAAAATACCTTTGCTCATAAACATTGATTAAATGAATTTTTGTAGATGAATTACGTTTCCATGATGAAACCATTGCTTATAAGAAATTAAAATATTAATCCAGGCTTATATATGTAATATTTTATTATTTTTTATTTGAATACTTTTTTTAAAATGCAAGCTAATGTGAATTATGTAATTATATGATATAAATGTTAAATTTATTTAAAACGTTATTACATAATTATTACAATAATTATATCATATAAATAATAGTAACTTTATTAAATTCGATTTTTAAAATATTCTTAAACAATACAAATTTACAAAACTTACTCTAAATAGTCTAATTAAAATTACTAGATCCCTTCTCTCTGTATACACAGAAAGAGGGAGAGATCGGTTGCAGCAGACAGGAAGTATATATGCTTCCTCAACCCAGTCAAAATGTATTGTAATGTAAGACATCACTACTGCATACCCTGTTTGACCTCTTTCTCTTGCGTATGGACAATATAAATTAAACAATTCACCACAATTTGTTTAATGAATCCAATACTCGTTGATATAGGATATTAAATTTGGTAATTTATATTATTTAACAAATGATATTATTTAATTAATTATTAAATTATTTTATAATTATATATATTAAATTTTATATAATTTAATATTTATTTATATTTTAAAATATATTATTTATTAAAACAAAATAATTTAAGTATATCTTAATTTTATTCTTATATAAAATTTATTTACATATAAACATATTTTAACTAGTAGTTAAATTTATTAATTTTATATATTATAAAAAATTATAAAGTGATATAAGTATTATTGTCGGACTATTATGTGATATTTTAACCATTTTTTAATATTTGAGTTTGTATTATATAATAATTAAAAAAAATATTTTTAAAATTTAAAAGAGTACACTGTGTTTTTTTTTTTGGCAGAATCATTTTGATGCGTGCTATGTATGTTGATCCAGGATTATGCTAGCATAAGAATTTCATACGCGAACTAAGAAAAATAAATGTTAAGTTTATCACTATTAGTATACATTTTGTCAAATATAAATTGATTTATTTAAGATAAATGTTTTAAGTTTATGTTATCATCAACTTAATACATTAATGAGATATATTAATTATTTACACCATTAAATCATTAGTATAAAAATTATAATGTGTATATTAAAAAAAGAACTTTTGTTAGATAAAATTTTATATCAATATAGACCAATCTAGTGATTAAACATTTTTGTTTAGTATATAATTTTGTTTGTTTGTGAATATTACTTCAATAAAAAATGTATTTAGTATTTATTTTCCAAGATATTTCCTTAACATCACATCAACGTCCTTAAAGGCATAAGTGAAAACAGATTCTCTTAGAAAATTGTTGATTGAAAATATATAGATTAACGAAGATATGAAATTATAAGGACAACATAATTATGAGATGAAATTTAAAACAAAAATAAATTAAAGAAGTTTAATTATTTCATCATAAAAAATCTGCACCCGAAAAAGACCCTCATTTCCCGAGTCCCAATCAAATCCATGCAGCCAAACTTCCATTACAAATACACATTCATTACAATTATACACTAATCATTATGGCGGGAAGCAAAATAATTATTGACTAAAAAAATACAATAAATAATTGTATGGGTAATAAGTTATTTTATTCTATACTGCTAACATTTTTTGGGTAAATTACTCTACTTGTACTTTTCCGGTTCACACCTGGGAAAAGAAGGTACAGTATCTGAAGTATAGTATAGTACATCAATCAATTGGACTGTTACAGCATGAATCATTATGAAGTGAAAAAAAAAAGTTGACAGAAAAGAAATGAAGGAATCAATAAATTGAAACTTATTTGCCAACTATACGTGAATGGGTAGCCGGTGTCACCAAAGTGAAGGGTGCAGGGAACATGTTAGTGTCCTTGCCCAGGGCTTGGACCCGAGTCCTTAATTTGGCCAAGGGTCTCACTGTTGGTGAATTCATGACCCTTCCCACCCGAACTTGGACCCGAGTCCTTGATTCCACCAAGGGTCTCAGTGTTGGGGAACTTGTGTCCCACACCTGGGCTTGGCCCAGATTGCTTGATTGATCCCAAAGATAACCAATCAAAGAAATCAACCACTTCCCCTTTTGTGGCTGAGTTCCCTGTCTCAATGATACCCAGTGGACGGGCTTGTAAGCCCATGAAAGCTGAGTTCATCAATAAGAAGAGAACCAACAAGGCTTGAGTTTTGAGGACGTTGCTTGTCATCTTTTTATAAAAACAATGCAAAGTTTGTTTAGGAAGAAAGAGGAGGGGTTTTGTGTTTGATGTTGGTGTAGCATGGGGATATATGGAGTCCCTTTTATAGCACGGGTAGTAGTGTTTGGTGTATTGACTAAAATGTTTCCTAGTAAGCACATTCAAATGTGGAAGCAGACTTAAAGTATGTATATTATTTTCAATGTTCAAACTTTCAAACAACGTGAGCATATCATTTTCTCGTGGGGGAAGCAACTTAGAAGGTTCTGATCGATGAAAGTCAATTTGGATTTTAGATTTGGAGAAGAGTGTATGTAACAGTATACTTATTCAAGGAAGAAAGCAAGAACGAAATAGAAAATGAAAGAATTACGGGTCCAAGTTGTGGAAGTCGGTAATAAAACCCATGTTAATTAGTAGGTTTCTCTTGGTGCCCACGGCTTTGGAGTCGTTGGGAAGTTTGTATGAACTGGGTGTAGTCAAAGACCAAGACTATGTAGTAATATAATAATACTTAAAGACCCAAAAGAAAATGGCCCGTAGAATTTGAAAAATATGTATATATTCAAATATTTAAGATAGATAGAAACTTTATATTTAAAAAAGTTGAATTTATGGAAAGCTTGAATGTTTGAGATTTGAGTTTGTGTCCTGAATTAAGAATTGAGTGTAATAAGAGAAAATGAATAAATATGTGTCAGAAAAGATGGGAGGGGGCTGCGTTCGCAGATATCATAACGACCAGTCAAGCAGACGTCTATACTACAACTATATAAAGATTAATTAATTAATAGATAGGGAAGTAGCTAAATTTATTAAAGACAGATCCTTCTTTGTTTTTTTGGTCAACTTAAAGACAGACCCTTGACTTGTGTTTCTGACTTAATGGAGTCCAATACTAAAACCCACATACAAGCACTACAATTAGCAGGCCCTCAACAGAAAAACATGGTTCATAGGCCACTCAGCAGTCAGCATGTTCAATTTCATCTGAAGCCCAGTTACTAGGTTGCATTGGGCTTATTTCCTTCCTAAGTTTAGGGAGTTTTTTATTTTTATTTTTATACCCTCTTTTTTTTATTCAGAAATTTAATTATTAAAAATTTTAATATTATTTTTGAAATTTAATTTTAAAATTGATTTATAATTATTTTTCTAGAATTAAAATTTTAAATCATATTAAACTCACCTTCAAAATTTATATTAACAAAAGCTACACTAGACATTAGCTCACAATAAACTCAAAAATGATAAGCCTAAAACTATTAAATTCTAAATTATAATAAACTTTTAGAATTTGAAATTTGACTATCTAATAAAATTGTAATTTTATGCCATGTAGGTTTTAAAGTCCAATTTAATCTAATTTTGAATATATTAATTTTAAATTATTAGATATTTCATGTAAATATATTAAAATAAGTGTAATATATATTTTTGAAATATATAAAAATAAAGATCTTTAACTATATTTTTATAATTATTTAATTATGACAAAATTTGATATATATATATATATAATTAAAGTAATATATATTATAATATAATGATTAGATAAAAATATTCTATATTTTATGTAAAGTTATCGACACTGTAATATTTTGTGTAACTTAATATATATCTATATTAACTTTATTAAAATTGTATAACTACAAAAATATAATCAAATCATCCTTATTTTATATATTTTAAAAGTATATATTACATTATTTTGTAATATATAAAATATTAAATAATTTTATATTACTTTAAAATTTTACATATATGATCTATATGATAAAAGCTCTTAATCCAATGATTAATTCATGATAAAAATTATTTATAAAAATTAATTAAATAGTATAATTTTTAGTGTTATTTATCCTGGTGTAATTTAATTATATATATATATTATAATATTATTTATCAAAAATTGTTATATAAATGATAATTATTAATTATTATTATTATAATTAATTAAAAAAATATATTTTATCTTGTATTCTAATCCGTTGATAATATAATTTTTTTTAACACTAATAATATATTAAAAATAGATTCTTAAATTATTTATAAATGTATTTATTATCATGATTTTGTTTATAAATAAATACCCATATTCAATCTCAAACCTATTTAACGAACTAGTTTTGCAATTCATATGTATTTTATTTTAATATATATTAATAATTAAAAAAATAAAGTTTTATAATTTTTTAAAATAGTTATATAAATATATGCATAGCAATGCCAAAGAATACATGCCATAGAGAATTTTACTATGATCTTAGTCGAATGAAATAGTCCTCAACATTGATCTTACCTTTGGAATTTGTCTTTTTTAAGTATACTAAAAAAAATTTAAAAATAATTTTCAAAAATAATTTTAAAATTTATTTTTAAAAATAACAAAAAAAAAAGTTTACAAGTTGTAAATAAGAAAAGGGAGGCCATGAAAAAAAATTTCCATGCTCAAGTTAGTAGTACTATAGTAATTCATTTGAATTTCTCATGGATAGAGAGCTTCTTTCAACCTTCACTTTTTGGGATAATGTGTAGATATAATGTGTAGATAGTCTTTTTATTGTTTGAAATTAAAATTAGTCTAATTAATTTTTTTTTATTGAAGTTCATTAAAAATTAAAGCAAAATTGTATATATGATGATTTTATGAAGTTGTAAAATAATTAATTTGAGACTCTTTTAATTTTATGCTTAAAAGGAGCATCATAATAAATTAAAAGAGGTCCAAATGGCTTACAACCAAAGACAAAGTAACTATACAACAACTAACATATTAACAAAAGCTATACTAGACATTAGCTCACAATAAACTTGAAAATGATAAGCCTAAAATAAAATTAATCACAAAAAGTCAATGTATAAAAAAGGAAGTACATTAAAATCTACTTTACAAGGTAATATCTGAACTTAGATCTCATTTTGTATTACAATTTTTAAATTAGTTTCTATATTACATTGATTGAGAAACAAGAGTGATGTTTGTTCTAAAAAATTTGTCTTTTGTTCAAGTCAAGAGCTAGGTTTGAGATAAAATTGAGACACAAGGTATAGTTAAAGATAAAATTGAGCATATTTGTTCAAAATAAATATTAATAAGTTTTGACAGTGAGAGGGGTTAATAAGTACTAAGTTTTAGTAAGTTATAACATGAATTGGGATGCTTATTTATTTCAATAAATTTAATTTGGATTTTAATTTTCTTTTAATTTAGAAGAATTTGAATTAAAACATTTCTTTTGGTTTAGAGATTGAGATGAAGATATTAATTGATCTTTTTTTTGTTAAATTTTATTTAAGGAGCTTAACGAGGATGAAGGCAAAGGAGTTTGTAACAATTGACTTTAATCAATTTTTGTTTAAGCAATAATGCATGAAGCAGATTTGTGTCTTTACTTGTTTTTCACTTAAGCGAGGGATTCTTACTTAAGTGATAATGCCTTTTTAGCTTGGTCGAGAATTTCTTGTTTAAATGAGAAGTCATTAACTCCACTTTATGAAAGAAGAATCAAAGGAGATGGGTAGGAAGAGGAGTAAGAACATAACTTCAACAAGGAAAACTAAGGCATTTGGTGAATGGGCATTGAGACACTATTTTTCAACCATTTTTTCTTCTTTCTTTTATTATAATAGACGCCATGAGTAGCTAAATTATCTTTGAAATTGGATATAATTTTTAACTATAAAATATTTTGATTGTTTATATATAGTTTATTCATTTCTATAGATGTTTGTGTTTCATTTTATTTTTAATGTTTGATTCTATTTTAAATGATAGTATTTTGATTTGGGATTCAAGGTTTAGCTAGAAAGCAAATTTTAGAATCAAATTAAATGAAACTTACTCAGTGTTTTGTAATGCTAGGAATATATTTCAATATATTGATTGCTTTTTAACTTTTGTTTTTAATGTTGGAACATTCATTGAATATATGAGTAATTGTTATTTATTGAATACTCTTATGAACCTTGTGTTTGAGAAATCAATATAAAGGAACATTAAAAGATTGCATTTACTTATATAAAATAATTTCTATGTATTTATTCATCAAAATATGGATGAGGATGAATAATGAAATCCAATCCTAGTTCAAATTTTAATTTTTTTTTGTATCTTAGACAAATTCAATTCTTGAATCTTTAAAATTTTTAACCCTTGAACATTTGTGCAAACATCAATATTTGTTATTAAGAATTTTAATTGGAATAATAAAAATTATGAATGACAACCCTTATTTCTTTACTAAAACAAAAACTTGATACATTTGCTAAAATCTCAATAAGGAGATAAAAGACTTATTTTGTTACTAGTGCTTTAGTGGAGACAAAAGAAGCAACATAATGAGTCATATGATTACCTTCTCTGAAAATTCAGGTAAACTCTTTATTCTATATTTGAGAAAAAGTTTTTAGAGGGGAAGAGAGGGAAGGATATATTTTTTAATTTTAAACTAAAAAATTATATATATCATTCATGATGATAAATGTATAATTAATATAATAAATTTATGTAATATATCATTTTATATATTTTATTTTAAAAATTATTAATTTTAAATATATTTATTTAAAATATAAATTTTGCCCTCTCCTTTCCTCTCTTCCAAAATTCTTCTTCTCAAATAACCCCTTAAAGACTAGGCTAGACACTATATGTTGGATATCTTGTAAAATGACTTTAATTTGAAAGATTTATTGTTTGATTCTGTTAGTTGAAATCATTTGTAAGTTATCTAATTTGAAAAAGACATTTTTATTTGAAATTAGTAATCAAAATGAAAACAAGAACCTCAACCATAAGGGAGGAAGGGGCAAACATCTAAGTACTTTACCAGTTAGTAAAGAACTTGTGTTGTCTCAAGCTATCACTGCCAATATTGAAGCAGATTGAGGATGCTTCCATAATGCGTCCAGATTGATCTTGATGACTCTTTTTAGGAGAGGTCTCTAGCAAGTGAACCCTCCTTTATGTGCTTCTTAGTCCCTATTTATTTATGCTGCAACCAAGAGTTGCAATGAAAAAAATAAAATAAAAATAGTAAATCAAAAATGAAAAAAAGAAAAAAATATAGATTTAAGGAGTTGCTACTAAAATTTTTAAAAAACATTAAAAAACTAAAAAAAATTATTTGCTCAATCAAATTCGAGTTCATGAATCTAATTATGCGTGGAGAAAATATTAACATTTCATGATGTCTATAAAAATAGTTACTTAAATTGTGCAAAAAATAAAATTTTATTTTATTCTTAAATTTAATATTTTATTTATTAAAATAAAAAGAAAAAGAAACATAGGTTTTAAAATAATTAGCAGGTTTCTGATCCTTGCTTAAGTTGTTGTTTTTGTATTCTTGTGTTTTTGTTTTAAATTTGTACTAAACTTTTAGACTTTTAAAAGCCATTTAATCGTGCAAGCTGATGGGCTTTTAAATTCTAAATTATAATAAACTTTTAAAATTTGAATTTTGAATATTTAATAAAATTGTAATTTTATGCTATGTAAGTCTTAAAGTCCAATTCAATCTAATTCTGAATATATTAATTTTAAATTATTTGATATTTCATTTAAATATATTAAAATAAGTTTAATATATACTTTTTGAAATAAATGAAAATAAAGATCTTTAACTATATTTTTATAGTTATTTAATTATGATAAAATTTGACATATATATATATATATAATTAAATTAATATATATTATAATATAATGATTAGATAAAAAATGTCTATATTTTATATAAAGTTATCGACACTGTAATATTTTGTGTAACTTAATATATATCTATATTAAATTTATTAAAATTGAATAACTACAAAAATATAATTAAATTATCCTTATTTTATATATTTTAGAAGTATATATTACATTATTTTGTCATACAAAAACTATTAAACAATTTTATATTACTTTAAAATTATATATATATATATATATATATATATATATTGTCTAATAAAATCTCTTAATTCAATGATTAATTCATGATACAAACTATTTAATAAAAAGTAATTAAATAGTATAATTTTTAGTGTTGTTTACACCAATGTAATTTGATTATATATATATATATATTATTTATCATAAATTGTTATATAGATGATAATTATTAATTATTATTAAAATTAATTTAAAAAATATATTTTATCTTGTATTCTAATCCGTTGATAATATAAATTTTTAACACTAATAATATATTAAAATTAAATTCTTAAATTATTTATAAATACATTTATTGTCATGATTTTATTTATAAATAAATACCAAGTTCAATTTCAAACCTATTTAACGAACTAGTTTTGCAATTCACATGTATTTTATTTATATATATTAATAATTTAAAAATAAAGTTTTATAAATTTTTAAAATAATTATATAAATATATGTATAGCAATGCCAAATAATACATGCCAAAAGGATTTTACTATGAATCTTAGTCGAATGAAAAAGTTCTCAACATTTGTCGGATTTGCCTTTCTTAAGTATACTAAAAAACAACAATTCAATGTTTGAAAGGTACTAATCATCGAAGACGATTACTCCTATTGTGTCGTGAACTTGAGAGAGTACAAGGAATAGCGCAAGTTGCCCTGAGGGAACTGATTTCTTGACCTTAATTCTTTGCACATGGGCAATAGTATCTATCAATTATTCGATGTCGATTTGGTCCATGTGTTATTAGCGAAAGGGGTACACGAGACACTCGCCCGCTTTTATTTTAAATTATTTGAATTTAACTCTATAACCACGGAATATAAAAAAGTAATAAAGATTTATATAAATATTCACAAAAATTTATAAATTTAATATTAAGTAATAAAAAATATTAAATAATAATTTTTATTTTAAAATTTATAATATAACTAAAAAAGTAGATAAAAATTAAATAAATTGCAATAAGAGAGGCTCTAGTTCAAATATCATGTTCAGTCAATTGAAAAATATAAAGGAGAGTGGTTCTATTAAAACTTTCACTTCCAAAACAAAGAACTCTAATTTATAATTATTAAAGATTGATAATACATTTCTCCATAGTAACTAATATCGATTTTATTTTGCCAACATTATTGGAAATTTTATTATCTTACTGTTATTCAATGTTTACTGATACTAATTACTCAAATAATTTTACAACCAATAATTATCATACATTGAACGTTAGATTGTTCATAAGTTACCGTGGAATTGGATTAAATAATTGATATTTTATTGAATCCCTTTGACGGGGACTAATTTATCTGTAATTTATTTTTGGTTTGTATATTATATAAAGGAAAATTGTGAATTGTTGGTAATCTGACAATGCCTTTAAATAGCCGAATAATGAACGATGTCCGTTATATATATATATATTAACATTATGAAAATATTTAATGTCAATAAAATAATAAAAAATAATTTAAATATATTAACATTATGAAAATATTTTACGCTATTATTTAATCATAAATTATAATATTAATAAAAATTATTAATTTTTATAATAATTAATAAAAAATTATAGTCATAATTATTATAATAATAATTGATTATCAGTATAAAAACATTTAGATTCACATGACACTAAAATTAAGCTCAATAAATACTTATATTAAAAATCATGCCGACCGAAAGAGGGGGTTGGGACAAAATGCATTAAAGAATTATAGTATCAAGACATTATATCGAATAAAAATCTACTTGACAATTATGAATATTTTTGGGCTCAAGAATATTAATCAATAAGATTAAATTTATTTCCATTTATAGATAGCAATAAATATTTGAATTTTGAATTGCTTATAAAAAAATATTATATACATGATACACATTTCCCACTTGTCATGGCATTGTTAAAGCATGATTATCCATATTAGCAAGCGCATAACTCAGCTAACGATAATTATTTTATAATCAGAATCTTGAAAATGCAATTGCAATAAAAAAAATTTTAAAAATATTTTTATTATTCGTAATAATCTTATTGAACTTAACTTAAATTTGTTATGTCTGATATATTCTCAATGTTTTATTCATATACGTTCCGTATGGTACTGGACAAATAGGGATGACAATTTATTATTTTTATACTTAAAAGTAATATTACTACTATTAATTTATTTGAAATTTTAGTGGATAAATAGAAAGGAATCAAAGTTATAATGAATTAATCAATCAATTTTTGTATTATAATGATAATCTACTATTTAAAAAGTGAAACTTCAATAAAGTTACTTTCCTTTACAATATGCAAATTTCATTTTTTTTATTCTTTACACATATTTTTATTAATTCTATTCTAATTTTTAAAAATTAAAGTTATTACTTAACTTTTCTTTATTACTTTATATAAACTTTTATATTTTTCATAAATACCTATTTTTGCATTTATTATTTTGATGCATATTATTCATAATTATAGAATTAAGTCAAATAATTTTTAAAAAATTTATAATTTAAATTAATTTTATTATATATACATAATTATTTACAAAATATAAAATTTTACCATTTAATTATTAAATTACATAAATATTTATTTTGAAATAAAATATCAGTGGAATTGCCCGGGCTATTAAATTAAAAATTAAGTATAGTTAATGATAGTGAACCGTTTTCTATAGATACTAAGATACAAAATTTGGGACGGTGAAATTAATATTGCTAATAAATTTGAGCATAATAAATGGTATAAGAAAGAATATTGTTGAACTTATCCTTTTGTTTTTCTTAAGATGAAAAAATGTTACACACCGTAACAGTTATCTTATAGAAGAATCAGACATGTGTTATTATATAATTAATTAGTTAATTTAAATTAATTAAGAACATTTCTTTATCATTTACATTTTTTATTTATATTTTTAAAATTTTACTTAAAAATTTTGGAAAAATATTCTTTTACGGAAATTATTTAATTCACATTTGGCTAATATTGATGGCATATATATATATATATATATATATATATATATTTATATATGTAAATATATAGACAGAGGAAAATAAAAAACAATAATTAATTATTTAACGTTTTTTTTTTGACAAAATTGAGTAATTTCTTCATCTGTGTGTGTACACACATACAAAATAAATAGTGTCCTCACATCGATCTCTAACACACCAATCCTTTGATATCACAGTCACACCGCCATTTCACTTCTCTCACACACGCTCAGAAACAATGTCAGGAGATAAAAGAGTGAATGTTCTAATGGTGTCACTTGCCTTCCAAGGCCACATCAACCCCATGTTAAAGTTCGCTAAACACCTTATTTCAAAGGGTGTTCATGTCACTATCGCCACTACCGAAGATGGCCGTAACCGCATGCTGAAACACACAAACCCAAATAATTCCTACAGCCCAGAAATAAAACTCGAGTTTTTTTCAGATGGCCTTAGCCTTGACTTTGATCGTTCAGATATCGAGTCCTTACTCAAAAGTGTTCGTGAAAAAGGTTCCAAAAACTTGTCCACTCTCATCACCAACATTACCAAAGTTCACAACTACTCGTGTGTTATTGTCAACCCCTTTGTGCCGGGGGCTATAGATGTGGTTGCTAAACATGGCATCCCTTGTGCGTTGCTTTGGATCCAGGCTAGTGCAGTGTATTCCATCTATTATCGTTACACCAAAAACATTGATGCGTTTCCCAGTTTGGAAGGCCCGAATAATAAAGTGCAATTGCCTGGACTACCAATGTTAAAGGTTAGAGACCTTCCTTCTTTTATTCTTCCTTCTGCCCCTCTTCACTTCAGGCAAGTTATAAGCGATTTATTCAAATCTTTGGATAAAGTGAAATGGGTTTTAGGTGCTTCGTTTTATGAGATTGAGGAAGAGATAGTGAAGTCCATGGCTTCACAAACCCCAATTTACCCAATTGGGCCATTGGTCTCACCGTTTTTGTTGGGTGAAAAGGAAACAAGTGATTTTAATGTGGATATGTGGAATGCTGAAGATTCATGTTTAGCGTGGCTTGAAAATAAGCCACCTTCTTCTGTTACCTATGTGTCGTTTGGTAGCATACTTGTGTTGTCACAACAACAGATGGATAACATAGCTCTGGCTTTGAAGAATAGCAACAAACCGTTTTTGTGGGTGGTTAAGCCAGCTGATGGAGGATCTAAACAAGACGCTGCTGAATTGCCAAAGGAATTTGTTGAAGAAACTAAAGAGAGGGGTTTGGTGGTGAAATGGTGCCCTCAAGAGAAAGTGCTAATGCACCCTTCTGTGGCTTGTTTTATAAGCCATTGTGGGTGGAACTCCACGCTTGAGACTGTGGTTACTGGTGTGCCTGTTATTGCTTGGCCTTCTTGGACCGATCAGCCAACAAATGCTATGCTTATAGCCAACGTGTTTCGAAATGGGGTGAAGGTGAATTTTGGGGAAGATGGGGTTGCCACTGCAGAAGAGATTGAGAGGTGCATTAGGGAAGTCATGGAAGGGCCAACTGCTGGAGAGATTAAGAAGAGGGCAAGGGAAATGAAAGAGTCAGCAAGAAAAACTTTACAGGATGGTGGCACTTCTAACAAGAATGTCAATCAATTTATCAGTGACTTGATTGTTGAGAATCCAGTCAGGGATTAAGGGCGTATATGTGTTGATCATCTATGAAAAATTTACTGGTTCACATGCATATGTTGCTGGCTTCTACTTTTTTAGTTCGATGGCTATTGTAACGAATAAAGGATAAGTTTATAATATTTTATGCTTATAAATAATTAATCGTTTACAGCTTATAAATAATATAATTCGATAGTTTTTATTTATTTGATTTTTTATTATGCGGTCAAGAATACACAATTAAAAACTAATAAATAATAAGTTCTTATTAAAAGTTATAACATTTTATCCTATTAATCTATGAAATCATGTGATTTTGAATAAAGAATTAATACATATAAGTTTTTATTGGATACTTTAAGATCTACTTAAAAAATCGTTATTTATAATAATATATTTGTTAACAAATTTGTTTTATAAATTATATATATAAAAACTAATGGCTTGCTTAGTACTTTAAAAATTCACTTGATATCAATTTTGTTATTCAAACATTATGACTGTAATAATAAAAAATAAATAAAAATTATAACTTTAAATATACTCCTCTAACATCAAGTGGTAAGTCTGTCCCGTTCTTATAATTCAAAATACGGAATATTTTTACATCTTTGAATATTTTAAGAATTTAATATAAAAATATCTAGAAGAATATATTATCATTCAGTAAATTTTTTAAAATTAAATCTAAATGTATCTGAAAAGTTAAAAATATAAAGCGTGATTTGTAACGCCTAATTGTATATATAATAATTTTTAATACATATAATATGCTTGATTAATAAAATGAATTATATTTAAATATTTTACAAAAATATTTATTTATAATATGTTCTCTAAAATCTTATTAAATAATCATAAAAGATTAAATTTAATACAAATTTATAATTTAGTTTTATATAAGAATAAATGGCTTTAGATATAACTTATTTTAATTTATTTTTATATTCATCAATTTTAAATTATTATTAATAAAATTTAAAATTTTAATTAGATAAAACAATTAGTTTCAATAATTCTTTCTGCTGTTCACCTATTACTGTTATCAAAACTTCTTTTTTTTAATAAAATTAAAGCATTTAAATGATACAAATGTTTATTTTATGTTCTATCATTTAATAAGTAATTATAATATTTTAAAACTTTAATATTATACAATAACATCAAGTCTCACGTTTAATAAACCGACACTGTTAATACATTTTTATACAATAATATCAAGTGTCACATTTAAAATTTTGTCAATTGTATTATTTAATTGATTTTTCTTAAAGAAGAGTGATATTAATAAGTATATTAAGTTATCAAAGAATAATAGAATAATAAAATAAGAGTTTTTGTATTTACAAGAATAATTTAAATATTAATTTTAATTAATTAAATAATAAGTTAAACAATTCAAAAAATTAATATTAAAAAATAAAGACTAAAATGTAAATCAATATAAAAGTAATATAAAATTTAATGGAATTAGATGCTAAGGTAATTTATTTCTTAACAAAATGCAACATAAACATTAATATGTCTTATTCAAATTCACTTAAATAGTAGTAAGGACATCATGTTATTAAAGTTTTTTTCAAGATCATCTAATGTCATATAAGCAAAGTCAAGAACCTAATCTCTTAGCATATTTAATTATACAAGTAATTCTCAAACATTTAAATATCATATGAATCATATTTGTTTATCTTTAGGTGTTATTCAACTCATAGCATTGCATTTGTAGACATGATTCTAACTCATTTTCTCAAATTTGTAAAAATCTCTATAATCCTAAATTAATGATCAACCAATTCAAGATAAATAAACTCAAATACAATGTTCATTATCAAATGAGAACAAGAGATAAATTCAATTAACATAATATCAAACACATAGGCTCCATAAATCATCCTTGATAAAGGGTTTAGTTACCAATCATGAAGAATGACTAAAAATGGACAACAACTAAAATTAGATAAGAGGAAACAATGAATAAAGAAAAATACATAAAGAGCAAAAGAATTAATCCCTAAGAGAGATCTCTCTCTCAAGCTCCAAGTTCTAGTCTTTTCTTCTCCAATATTTCATATTTTGCTCTGCGTTCCTTCCTAACGCATTTCAGGATCAATTTAGAAGCCCAACCCATATATAAGATTCCAGCATCCATGTTGAAGCGTGGCCATGACCACACTGTGTGACTTAAGTTCCAAGACCCACATCTAATCTTCTTAATTCTTACTCCAAAATGCTACAAAACATAACTAGAATGCAAGGTTAAATGTGAATGTAATCATATAAGAATTTAAATCAATAATGTAAAAAAGGGCAATTAAGAAAATTAAAACTAATTATTAACAAACTAAAAATTCTAAAAAAACTAGAGAAAAACATAACTCTTGAAGGAGTTATCACAATCTCCAACTTAAGAACTTGCTTGTCCATAAACAAGTCTTAAGATATAACTATACAAGCAAGATGATTTTAATTTATAAACTTTTTCAAGTTTTTGATTCACTAAGACCTCATCATTGTTCCAAGAGTTAATTCAAAAGTCACCCTGAGCCACACTTCAAGCAATTGACCATTTAATTGTGAAAAACTTTTTATGAGAAAATTAAACTAGTGTGTGTAAAGTTATAAAAAATCATATCTCATCATGCCAATGCCAATAGTTAAAAAGAGACAAAATCAAAACAAAACAAAATCACTCTTTATACATCCACACATGTATCAACTAGCCAAAGATCAAAAGAACTTTAGGCCAAGGTTGAGGTATGATGACAAGTCATTTAGGTTCATTGATTACTCATAACTTAAGAAACCATTCGCTTCTAGTCCACTACCTTTAAGCAACCCCCCAACCTATTTTATTGTTACCCTAATTTCATTTTTTGTTCATAATCAATCAATTTCTAATAAATAGTAATAAACTTTCCTTTATTTTCTTTCTCTTTTTTGTTGTAATAATTGACATATGAGGATCAAGTTAAGAAATACTCTATTTTCATGAACTTAGAAGCTTTAAGCTTGACGGTAAACTAGGTTTAAAATTGAAAAATGAAATAAAAAGGATCTCTAAGCTTGTAATGTGGCTTAATCAAGAAACAAAAGTCCAATGACTCAAAATGGGTGACAAGGGTTGATTTCTTTGTGCCTTCTAAAAATGACCTAAATCAATTCTAAAACTATTTCCTACTCATGCTTCTCTCTAGAGGGCATCAAATGCAAATAATACATGTCATAATTTAACTATAACAATGAAACATGATAATCACTAATATGAATTTGTAACATTCTAAAATTTTAGTCTTAAAAATTGCTTGTTCTTTTTATACAAACTTGGCATAAAATATAAATTTTTCCGTTTATAATAAGCATTGTAATTACAGGTAAATAAAATATCTCTTTATTCTTAAAATTAGTTATAAATTTATTAATCATATAATATTAATTAAGTAATAATGAAATCAAAATCATAGTCAACTGTAAATAATTTTACAAATATGAGTACAAAGTTTGTATTTATATATGTTAAATACAACAATTTACAAACTGTTTATCAAAATACATAGAACTCGAATAATAATTACATAACCAGAATAGAAGAGTCTTAGAGTAGCTTCAAAATATATCCACACTGAAGACCTAGTACTAGTCATCCCCATGCCATCTCTCTATCTCCTTTAAATCCTCAGAATCGAGGTCATCATTGGATCCGAGATTTAAATCTCTCCAGTCGGCCACAACCTTAACACCTCTGATTCGCTCACAAGTAACTCGAGTTGGCCTCAAAAGATGATTATGATCATGATATGTAAATAGATAGGTGAAGGCTGCTAGGGTCCTAACCGTGCCTTTATAGATATAGATACATACAATATGGTATATTCTACTTACAGAAAAATAAAAAAGAATACTATAAAATAGATCTATCTCTAATATAATAATATTCCTAGGTACATCGTCAACATAGACAACAAACTTGAAATAAAATGTCCTCTAGTACTCGTTAGATACATAATTAAGTCTATTGTGTACAGAACTGTCTATTAGCCTAATTCTTTTCTGAGATGTCGTCATTCTAGTTTCCTGAAAATTTTAGTAAGAATGAGTATCTATTCCATCATTCATAAATCATTATATCATACAGGTCACAGTTATAACATAAGGAAAACATGTTCATTCTTACAACCAATTCACATTACCAACATAAACACATATACACAATTCAATGATTTATTACACTATCCAATTCTCTCCTTCAAATACGAACTCTCAATGCCCTATGATCACATACAATAATGCCTTCAATATTTCTTGAGGTCTTACTCAATTAGGTAAATAGCCACCAGTTAGCCCATGCACATGGATACAACATATACAATAGTCATGCCCTTTAACAAAGGTATAGTTAGGAAATGAGTGTGAGGCCATGTGACGCATTTACTCTCAGAAAAAGTGTGTACACATACCTGAATGTCGCTCACCACTTTACGTTTCTCCTAGATTTTCAATCGTCTCCAGACTCTATACCCCTAGTGTATCTTTGTAACTATTCACACTAGATTTATTCCATTCAATGCTTATAGTCATTTTGAAATTAATTGTTTCTTTACTCACAAGATCGTGCTTAGTAAAACATCACTCAACATGTTTTTAATAATATTCCATATTGAGTACTCATCATATATTTCATGTGAACATATAACAATTATTCAATCCAAAATACTGAACAAACATATTCTCAGCCATCATTCACATATAATATATTTCAACCACACATTTTCATAAAATTCCTATGTAATAGTGTTCCAATGAGCACAAAATGAATACTATAATAGAACGATAAAATAGAGCTCTCTTTATCCTGATTGGAGTTTGTGGAGAGATATTTATAAGGATTTGAGTTCAACTATGAAAGTTTTCCTGAGTACCAAGAGGTATCCGTGAAAAAGAAAAATAAGTTTTTGAAATATCGTCTCACAAAGATTGTTTCCAATTATCAAAAGCTTCTTAATTTAATGGTTTAAACTTAAATG